CACCAGCCCCGGTTGCCCCCGTCTCCTCAGTCCCGGTTGTCCCCGTCTCCTCAACCCCGGTTGCCCCCATCTCCTCAGTCCCGGCGGCCGGGCGAGGCGGGCCCGGTGTGAGATCAGCCCTGGGTGCCGCCCCTGCCGTGGTTCTCCTTAATACAGGTGTGTTTCACTTGCACAAGAAACCCCTGCCCGCCGCACTCACTTGTCTTAAAATGAATTGTAAGGTTATAGCCTGTCCAGTGCCCACCCTTCTCTTTCTGCCAGGCCTGGGAGCCGCAGGGTTGGCCTGATGGGCCCACAGTAAATGCCCTGTTTTCCTGTCAGGTCGGTGTGCCCAAACTATTTGCCTTTGCAGCTCCTGTGTCTGTGGAAGAGCGTTGGCAGGAGGCAGCCAGGCGTTTCCCCAAAATGCCAGTGTTGCTTGGCCATTGCTGGTGCCTTTTGTACAGGGGTAGTAACCTTTGCAGCCGGACACTGAAGGATCCTTGTCAACCTGTAGGCCTTTTTTTTTTCCATCTGTGTGTTTCCACCTGAATCCTGTGTGCTTCAGCTGGACTTCGATTTCCACACCCACCCCCCTCACCCCCATTTCGTGTTTTTATTTTGCTACCTATATTGTTTCTAGAAGGAAAAGGGAAAAAAATAAGCACAGGTAAGAGCAGATCCTGTTACTGTGAGTCCTTCAGAAGCTGACAAATTGCATCTTTGTGGTTGAAGCAAAAAATGCTGCAGTGTCACAGTGTGTTCAGGTGACTGAAGAGTTCTTAAGCAGACGGAATGACATAGCAAATTATGGCCAGCCCTGTTGGAAGATTTTGGAATATCATTAGAGGAGTACTGCCAGATTTATCTAACACGTTTTTCTAACTTTATTTGTAGCAGGGATCTTCTAAGATTATGTGGTTATGTTTTTCTGTTCTGTTGAATAGCGTAAATTTTCATCTATATAACATTCTTCTGTAGTGTTAGTATCTCCATTTTATAGGGCTATTTTGTAGAAACAGGAAAGAAAAAATCTAAATTGGAGTTATAAAGCTATAGATCTGAATAGTAGCTGAAATTATTTAATTTTTCTTTAGGTGTTAAGTCAGTCACTGTCTTTTGAAACACTCTTCCTTCTTCAGATTAAAATAGTTAGTTCTTAGGCTAACTTGATAGTGATAGAGTGTTTTTGTGATATGAGTTCATTGCTGTCCAGTTACCCTCCCACAACTGGCTTGGGCTGTAGAGGGGTCTACACAGATTTGCTGACAGAGGCAGCATCTGTCTCTCTCCCAGCTATTTCCTTCTCACCTTCACCTCACTGACTGGACAGTGCTGCTCTCAGCCACGTGGAGAACCCAGATCAGGGAGTTATTCCACATAAAACCAATTTCTGTTTCCACCTCACATTATTTTTTCATCTGAATTACTGCAGTTCTGCATGATTTGTGGTTGCATTGGGGCTGCGACAGCATCACTGCTGAACATGAAACTTCAGCTACATGCTTATTTGAAATGGAAAAAGGACATTTTAGGTTCACGTAAATTAAGGCTACTGGAGATGCATCTGCTCCTGGCTCTTTCTCATGCCAATGATAGCATTTTTGGGACAATGTGATAGACTCGTTCAAGAATCTGATCAACCTGAAAACTGATTTTTTTAATCTCTTATCCCATTTCTCCTGGCGCATAGATTGATTTTCACTAGAGGATCTCCCTGAGCTGTATGGCCCCATGTTCAATCAAGCACTCATTTGATGTGGTTGGTGGGGTGATGGGAATGGCTGTCTTGGCCCTTTTTAGTCCAGCATGGCCCTTTTAGTTGTCCAGCATGAGCTGCTTGAGAACTGTATCTCAAGTTGTACTAGAAATCCTAACGAATACTTAACTGAAAAAGTTGAATGTAAGCTAATCTTTAAATATGGACTTCAAGGCCCTCTTAAACTTGAAGTACTGTTAGGTGCTTACCACTCTTGAAAGGTATTTTTATACCTTAAGAAACATACTGTAGGCTCTAGTTAATTTCAATATTAGTTTAAATGCCAGTACCGGAAAAGTAACTTACTGCACCAACATATATGTATCATGCTTGCCTTTTTTATTGCTGTAACAGAAATAATGCAATAATGCATTTGCTTATGGGAAAAAAAAATCAGGGCAAGAGGGAAAAATATTATCTTTGCTGATTTGGTATTAAAACCTGTCCAGACAATAGTAAAAATCAATACCGGTGTTGCACAGACCAATTTTAGTCAGGTCTTTCCTGACTGATAGAGCCTAAGGAGGCAAAGTCTGAATTGGGAACCATTTTCAGAATGTGCAAAAGTTGCTTAATCTACTGCAGGACAGTGTAAAATATTTATTTCTCCCTTTAAAAAAGAACTTAATTCTTCTGATTTCTGATGGCTTTTTCAGGTACATATATGAAATATAGTAGGAGGAATGTGCAATACAATCTTACGAGGAAAGACCGTGTATAGTTATCAGTTACTCGGGCTGCTTTGCATTTCTCTTACCTCTTTTCATCTCTAAACCCTCCAGGAGATGTTCGTTCTGAGCAGCAGTATCAGCAGCAGAAATTTTCGAACCAGTCCTCTGGGCCTTCTTACAGGAAAGACCAGTATTTTCCAAAAGGGCAAAATAGAGGAGAGAGAGGGAGAGGAAGAGGAGGATGGCAAGGAGGACGCCAGAGTATTTCTGAGGAAATGCCAAAATACATAACAGGTTTGTATAGAAGAAAAAGGTTGTAATTGATATGTGCAGGGCAATGTGCTGGTGATTAAGTTTGCCGTCTGCCTGTGTTTTTGTATAAGAGCAAAAATTAGAACTGATGCTGTGTACTTCTGTTTTTCCTAATTTTCTCCAAAATACAGAAGTACTTTTGTGCTAGAATGAATGACCAGCTGTTGTTCAATGAGTCCTTTCAGACATCTGAGTTGAAAAGTTGCACTTACTTGTAGTGAGGGATATGGATTTAGGTTTCTGTTTGCCAGTAAAATGCGTACTGACAGTCATCTGCTTCTAATGTAGCCAGTGGAGCTGGTTTTGCCTATGATGTGAGTTAAAGATAACTTTTCATCTAACAGAACGTTTATTTAGGCGAGCAGATTAGCTTTTCAAAATATGGCAGTGCTCTGATAGTAGATACACTTCAATAAGCATAAAACAAGACCAAACACCGGATTTTTTTATTTGATCATTATAAAATGGTGTATAATATGATTACTGCTTCCTTTTTTCTTTCCA